AATCAAAAGCATTCAAAGTATGCAAATTCGGAAATACCTTCAGAAACGGTAAATATGGGAATGCAGCACTAGTACCCGAGAAAATCATCCGGCTCATCTTGGGCGCTGCCATCTTGGATTGTGTAAGTTTTGTTCTAAAAAGTCTGGTGACAGCGCAGAGGCATTTTACCATTTGCTAAGTCTGGTATCCTCCAACAAAGTCTAGCATTTGCCTGTTCATTCTTATGAATAGACAATGCATAGACCGGGCCGTGGTCCAGACTCTGAGTGACGTCATATAGCGATAGCAACACATTAAACAATCTAACGTCGTGTGACAGTGCGAACCCCATTTTCTTCCATCCTGATTGTTGCCCAAGGTCCTCACCTTTTACTAGTTCTTAGAAATTACACTAGTAGGTGAGTTTCATTTGTAATTGACATTTTAAAATTTGAGGTCTGCAGCTGTAGCAATATCGGAACAAAACTGTAACTTGTGTAAGTTAAGTGTAAGCATGGAGGACAGTGTAACGTTAAGCCTCGCCGTCGCAGCCTCGCGCTGTCGCACTGCGACCGCGCTGGCATGGCCAGTGCAAGTTACAATGCTATGCTGCTGGCTGCGTGAGGCATATAATGCATCTAGGTATGAAGCTCAAACTGGAGCAGTCCCCTGCATGCCGTGCCGTCCCCGCGCACTCCCTTAGCTAGGAGGCTCATAAATTTTTCAACCTTTTTTGTGTGTTTTCTTATTGAACTGACCTTGGTGAGATTATCATAAGAAATATTTTGATAAAGCCTAGGCCTAAGTTTGGATTCCATTGGACTCTGCAAAGCAAAGAAATACTGATTTAAAGTAGGGATATTTTGAGATTTTTTTGGGGGGCAACGTGTGTAATGCAGAGCAAACTCTGATTTTTTGTACACAGAAATGAATGTGAATTTTGACTGAAAAGCTTAAAATTCACATTCCCGAAAAAAAGGTTGTTCTTATTCGTGCCTTGTTGCATGAATTAAATGCTGGCCTCGCTTGAAATTTGGAAAAAGATAAATTCAATCAGAATTTCCTATGAGTTCCCAAATAAACAGTGCCCTCACTCATTTATGCATGCCCCTACCTTAGTCATACATCTGCCTGTAGGGCCTCGCATGGTGACTGGTTGAGTTTTCTTCATGACATGTCAACATGGTCAAAGTCAGTTTGTTTTAAATTAAAACGTAATGGAAGACTTGCCACTTGGTAAACGGTCGTGTTGACCCGGTTGTGGAATTACCTCAACAGTCAAGTTGACTTGAGTTGGTAAACATGGTAAATGGTCAAGTTGTGCAACACCCACCTTTGCTCAGCTGGAAATGTTTTGATCAGGCAGTAGGCAAGGTGTATACATGTACATGTATACTGTGCGATTGCCTTAGGCAGTAAGTTGATCTTATTTTATGCTTTGTCAATAATTCTGTGAGGCTTTGACAACTCGACTGCCAATCAACCCAGAACAACTTGACCATTGAGGCCACTTGACTTGTAGGACCACACGACTGTTTGTGCCTCAAATAGACAGACAACTTGATTGTTTGGGCAAATTGTCAACTGAGACAAGTTGACTCGTAATAAGCTTGATGAGTGTGCCTGCGCTTTACAATCACATCGCCCACACCATTTCTCCAAAATGAAAAGAAGAGAAAGGACTGGGGGACAGGTTTACCTTCTTCCGTACCGCCAGACTAGCAACTGATCATTAGTACGGTGTGGTCAAGACGTCTGTGCACCTTGGAATGTGCACTGTCCCGCCGTGCATGCTGCATTGCTGTTGTGGCCATGCATCCCGCTGGTTTTGTTGGCTGACGCGCCACCCACAGGTTTTGTGCATGCTGATCATCTGGGCCCTACGAGCCCTACGAGTCGTGTCACAACTTAAACATGCAAATTTACCCAAACACATAATCTGCAATCTGTATTGAAAGTCCCAAACTCCATCATATACACCCCTTGAATGGTCAAGTTATCTTTAAATGGATGACTTGGTAAACAGTCAAGTTGTCCCACCAGTCAAGATGTCTCAATGGTCAAATTTTCTTTAGTTAAGTCTACAAATTTTCAAGTTGTTCGACATCCAGTTCTGCCATCATTCATCAAGTGGCTGCTGATGTCAGTCACTTTGGCCGTTTTCCACTTCACCCTATGTCAATTTTTCCAAACCACTTTGACCCATCCCCACACCTCCCCACGGCCACTTCGCCCCATCCCCACACCTCCCCAATGCTTCGCCCCAGCCCCACACCTCCCCACGGCCAC